CCCCTAGAGCCGGCGCCCTGAATTCGGACTCTGGTCTCCTAAACTGCAAGAAATAAGTTCCTGTTCATGAAAGCCCCCCCCATTGTGTTTTTTCTGCTATAGCAACACCAGGGAACCAGACGGCCTGGAGCAGAAACAGGAACTTAGGGACCCAGCACGTCTGTCAGTGAATGAAAACAACAGCAAAGCCCGTCTCAAGGCCAGAGAGGGTCCCTGGGGCCCGGCTCCCCTGGGCCCCCGCCAGCCCCGCTTACCTGCTCCTTGGACTGCGCTTTCTGCACATAGTCTCGGCCGACCTTGATGCGGGGAGTGAGCAGGGCGCGGGAGAAATCAGTCACCCCCAGGCCCAGGAGGCGGCAGAGTTTCTGCGCAGCTGAGGACGAGAGGCAACAGGACGCAGTCAGTGTGGGGGCAGGGCATGGCCCACAGCCCTGAGCGGCAGAGAGGGCGCTGTCTCCATGCACCACCGCGGGCCGGCCTTTCCCGCGAGAGGCGTTAAAAGTCCTCAAAGTGTTTATGTTGTCTAGCCAAACAATCCTGCTCCTAGGAACTGGGGTCGGCAAACAGCACTCCCAGATACGAGAGTGCGCTGCAAAGTGTCCGGCACAGGGGCCTTTAGAGAAAACAGAGACTCCTGATGGGCCAACAAGGGAGCAGTTAGAACCAGGCCCGGCACTTCCATCTGATGGGCCCTACAGTCCGTCAGAATTCTGTCCCACACTCGCTTAAGATGGGTCCTTCCACCATACGTACACATATGTATACGATAAGGATTGTCTATGATGCACATAAACACATATGTAAAGTACCCGGAATACAGATAGAATGGAAACCTATTTTTACTTACGTGGAATATATGGCCATTGTAATTCATATAGACTATAAAGACACATATGGAGCCCTGGTGGCAGGGTGGTTAAAGCACGTGGCTGCTAACCAGAAGATCGCTGGTTCAAACCCACCAGCCTCTAGGTGGGACAGAGATGTGGCAGGCCGCTTCAGTAAAAACTGTCAGTCTTGGGAACGCTTTGGGGCTGATCCACTCTGTCCTTAGAGGGACACTATGAGTCAGAACTGACTCCATAGCAATGGGTTTGAGTT